CTTCTAAAGCTCCAACTGGGCCGCCTAGAGGTATGAAGTTGTCCTTGTAAATTTTAGACTTGCTTTTTTTTTTACTAAGTCTAATCCGTTTGTTTATGCTTGATGCAGCCGGCCCCCAGGGGCCTGACTTGGTAGAGATGGCCAAGTCTATGATCAGGGCAGTTCCTCCAGCTGAAAGGGAGGCGGTCAGGGGTGTCGGCACCCTTGACCTTGACGGGATTGCAGGGGTCCTTGCTGAGGTATACTTAGCATATTTTTGAGTATTTGAATTTCTGGACGCCTGTTTTATTTTTTGTTTGGAAACTGACGCCTGTTTCTTTGTACTTAGGCCCTGCTCCGAGTGAACGGCCTTCGCAAGCCGCTTGATCGGAAGAACAAAGAGGTAAAGGCTGCAAAAGCTGTGGCCGCCTCTGACTGTGATAAGGCAATGTTTCAAATTGCCCAAAATGAAGTTCTGACCATTGATATTCTTTATTATCAGGCGCAGGCTACCGCCGCTGTTCGGGCTCAGTTAGAGGCGGCCCAGAAGAAGAATGACGAGCTGGAGGCGACCATCACAAATCTCCAGGCCGAGCTGAAACCTCTTCGCCTGAAAATGTACTCTTACGAAGCCATGGAGAAATCCTTGGCCAACGTAAAGGAACGCCTGGTGACCCAGGAGAAGAGTCTTACCCAAGAGCTCTCGGAAAAGGCCGAGCAAGAGAAGAAAGAGTTGGTCCGGGAGATGATGGAAGACTCCGCTCAAATCCAGCGCATGACCTGGGGCCGCCTCTTCCCCAGTGCCGACTTTGCCTCTTGGGAAAGAACGTACCGCCAGTGCTCGGATGCATATAATCAAGAGATCCTGGCGGCTGCTGAAGAAGAGGCGTTGGGAGAAGCGTTGGAGGAGGAGGAGGAGCCGGTAGTGGCGCTTGTGCCGCTTGGGGGTAAGGCATCAAAAAAGGATGCAGCTGAAGCCGAGTCCAGCAAGAAGAGTGCTGACCAGGCGGCAGCTGCTAATACTGAACTGCCCCCTTCTTAAGCTTTATGTATTCTTTCCACGGCCTGCGTGCCGTTTGCTTTGTATTTACCCGGCCAGGGGGCCGGGGCTTTGAATATTTTGCTGGTCTTTAATGACCGGCTTATTTTTAATGAATTTTTGTTTTGCTTCAAATTTGTCTAAGTATTCCATATCTAATATCCAATTGTTTACTAGACCGACTGTTTTACATGGCCGAACGTTGCAGACAGGTACGGATAGTTAGTACGCCGCCTATGCCCCTGGACGACTGGTTGTCTGTTTCCAGGATAGACGATCAATCGGCCATTTATCCAATCAGTATTCGAACTATTTTGTTTGGATCCTTTTTAGGCAGGCGGGCCTGTCTTTTTGTAATTTTAACCAAGTAGGAAAGTGGTCTGACCAAGTAAATAAAGTATTACCTAGTCGTCAAGGAATTGAGTAGTAGAGAAAACAAGCGGCGGGCACCGGTTGTTTCCCTTTATTGCCAATGTTGTTGGCTTTTAACTCATAATTTTTTAACCTAGCAAGAGTAGTGATTGAGGGCCTCTGCTTGTTAAAACAGGCGGACGACTCATACCTTTTAGGCTCCATACTAAGTTTGAGTGACTATTAAGTTAACATAGGAGTTACTTAGTCTTCGTCACAATCTAGATTGAGTAGTAGAGGTACCAGGCGGCGGAGGACGGCTGATCCCCTTGATTTGCCAATGTTTGTTGGCTATTAACTCAATAGGTTACCTAGTAGGAATAGGGGTTTGAGTGCCCCTGTTTGTTAAAAACAGGCGGACGACTCAAACCTTTCAGGTTCCATACCAAATTTGAGGGAGTGACTTATGAGATAACGTTGGAGTTACTCAGTCGCCGTCACTTTTGTTTGAGAAGTAGAGGTACCAGGCGGCGAAGGCCGGCTAGACCCCTTGATTCGCCAATGTTTGTTGGCTATTAACTCAATAGGTACCCCCTGTATTTATCCCAAGTAATACAGGCGGTCATCTGACTCAGATGTCAACTGCTACCACTGGTTTGGTTAGTGATAGAGTTATCCTTGTCTCAAAACGGCTACGTGGTTGCCCTCGGGGACAGTCGTATAGGTGCCGTGTAATTAGTTTATAGAACAATGTTCCACCCAAAAGGGAGCTGCTCTCTGCGACGAATTTCATCCGAATGGATGCCGTCGGACGCCTGCTATGATGTTGGGACAGGTCGTATTAGTTTTGTAGATTTGATCAGTTGGCTTGGCGCCTGGTCTGATCATTCGGCCTGTGGCCTTGGTAAGTTCTTGGTGAACGTAGGTGCTAAATAAAAGGAGGGTAGCCGCCTGTTAGGCATAGGGTCGGCCAGGCCCTAATCTGTTTAGCTAAGTATTAGGGGGGTGGCTATGTGTTTGGAACCAGTTGGCCATCTTCTTATGGAGAGTAGCCGACTATATGCCCAGGCAACATGCCCCTATTGTGAGTGAAATACTCAATGGAGAGTAGCCGACTGTAAAGGTACAGACGGCATGCCCCTCTGAAGATAGAGTGTAAAACTCAATGGAGAGTAGCCGACTGTAAAGGTACAGACGGCATGCCCCTCGTAGTACAAAATTGAATAGTAAGTGCAAACTTTTATTAAGTAGCTCTTTACTTTACATCATTCAAAAGAAATATTTCTTAAGATTATCTACATTCCAAGTTCGAGGCAACGGTTGTCCGTCTGGTGTTTCCAGACGGTAGGTACCGTCCCTGACTTCCTCATAGATTCGGTAGGGTCCTTCCCAGTTGGGAGTTAGTTTGCCAGACTCATTAGCCCTACCAACTGCTTCCATTTTTCTAAGTACAAAGTCCCCTACTTTGAGTGGACGCCTGTGTACTTTTTTGTTGTATGATCTAGTCATTCTCAGGCGATAGATCTCATGGCGCAAGACAGCATTGCCCCTCTTTTCAGGAAGTGAGTCTAATGCCAGGCGCATGGCTTCCCAGTTTGCCTCTTCGTCATATAGCATCACTCGAAGAGTCGGCTCGTAGTGTTCTATTGGAAGAACAGCTTCCGCACCGTAAGTTAGGAGGAATGGAGTTTCTCCAGTCGCCCCTTTTTCAGTCGTCCTAATGGCCCAGAGAACATGTGGTAGTTCATCCGCCCATAGGCCGCCTGCTCGTTCAATCTTTTTCTTGAGACCGTCTGAGATGATTTTATTAAAGGCTTCTACCTGGCCGTTTGCTTGTGGACGGCCGACAGATGCAAAGTAGTTTGCAATTCCTTGATCACCCAACCAGCTTTTGAGAACAGGCGTCTCAAATTGGGGACCATTATCAAAAACCATAGACATGGGAACCCCGAACCGAGTGATGACGTTTTTCTAAATGAATGAAATTACATCTTTCGTCTTGATTCCCTTCACAGCCTCCGCCTCTACCCATTTAGTGAAGTAGTCAACGGCAACAAGTATGTACCTTCTTCCGCCTGTAGCAGGCATATATGGACCCAGAATGTCCATGCCCCACTTAGCAAACGGTAGTGGGCTGTGAATGGTAGTGAGGTCAGTAGCCGGACGGTGAATTAGTTTGCCAAACCTTTGGCACTTGTCACATTTTTTCACCATCTCCATTGCATCTGCTTCCAAAGTAGGCCAAAAGTAGCCCTGCCGCCTTGCCCTTTGAGAAGCACAGTAACCAGAGTGAAGATCATCTAGTATCTCTCGTCCCTTTTCTGGAGTAACACACTTTAAGAAGGGTTGAAGGTACCCCCTCTTGTGAAGTTCTCCCTTTATCATTTCAAAACAGGTGGCTCGTTTTTTTCAGTGCTGCCGCCTGTTGAGGATCATCCGGCAGTGTACCGTTTGTCAGATATGCCCTGATTGAATCCATCCAGGTTGAGCTTCTGTCTAGGATTCCAATAGGGTTTTCCTCGATGCTTCTCTTCTCCATTACTTCCCAAAAAACAGTTCGAGGAGTATCAGAGGAGGCGGATGATGCTAATTTTGACAGTGCATCCGCCTGGTTGTTTTCTGATCTCGGCACTTGGATCAGATGGAAATCCTCAGGGAGCCGACTGCTTGTCGGACCGCCTGTAAATACTTGATCATGGCCGGATGGGTTGCTTCGTATTCGCCATTGTACTGACTCACTATCAATTGTGAATCGGAACAGGCGTCTATTTTTCTTGCCCCTGCCGCCTTGCACATGCGGATCCCGGCTAGTAAAGCTTCATATTCTGCCTCATTGTTTGAAGCCTGAAAACTGAAGCGTAGAGCATACTCGAACCTGTCGCCCTCTGGCGACTGACATATGACGCCTGCTCCACAACCATTTGAAGTAGAGCTTCCGTCCACATATACCTTCCATACTTGGTCTGGAACTTGAGAGTCAGGAGGACGAGTCATCTCTACAATAAAGTCAGCAAAGGCTTGCCCCTTCACTGCTTTTCTAGGCTCGAAAGTAACTTCGAGGCTCTGTATTTCTATGGCCCATTTGATCATTCGGCCTGACGACTCCATGATGGTCAGCGGCCGCTTGATAGGTTTGTCTGTATACACCTGTATTTAGTAAAATGTCATGCACTCTTGGCGTCTTATGCAATTGATTGTTCTTTTGAGCTCTACTATAATTGTATTATGTTGAACTTCTCTCTCTCTCTCTATATATATATATATATGTGTGTGTGTGTGTGTGTGTGTGTGTATATGTGTATATATATGTGTGTGTATATATATATATATATGTGTATATATATATATATATATATATATATATATATATATATATATTTGGTATTGCTGTATCAATCAATCAATCAAAGCCTTAATCCCATAAGTGGGGATTAAATACCTTTGAAAGACTTCCTATTTCGATTGTCTGAAGTCATCAATGGATATTGTAGTAGTTTTTGAGCTTTATTGGTCAGTTTTTTGAGCTGTATATATTCTAATATTCATTATGTGATACTTTTTACATATAAATTCTATGATGTGTTGGAACTTGGAAGTATATTAAATACCTTTGAAAGACTTCCTGTTTTGATTGTCTGAAATAAGCCTTCTTTATTTGCAGATAGGATTTAGTGCACCACAAGGTTGTGGAAAGACAACACTCGTATTCGCACTATACTATCTTTTCCAAATTACTGGCAGGTACATATTGGAAACTTAAGGAACATGACATGTACTTGTGAGAAATTAATGAGAACAGTATGACATTTTTGTTGGACTGATAACATGAAATTCTGCTAGGAAAACTGCTACAATATCCATTGATGATTTCTATTTGACAGCTGAAGAGCAGGTATTTATTCCAGTGGTTTCAGAGAGAGCTTCTGATAACAGAATTTGAGGTCTGTATCATTATTGTCTTTTTCTGACAGAATTTCATGGTAACTGTAGGGTAAACTAAGAGAAGCGAACTCAGGAAATAGTCTTCTAGAGGTTAGACCAGCCTGCTTAGTTCAATTATTTTATTTCAATAGAAAATATCAAATTGTTTGTGCACTGATGATGTCAAATGACAATTTTCAGTACCGGGGAAATGCTGGAAGCCATGATCTATCGCTTTCTGTCGAAACACTTACAGCCTTGAGCAAATTAACTGAAGAAGGTATTGCTTTACGTTTAGTATCCTTGTCCAATTGCTAGAACATGTGCAACCTCTTGGTGGTACATTGCACACGTCTATCCTTTCACCTTCCACAGTTGTCCATAATCTTAATTTAAGCCTTTTCATCTTTATATTATCTTCTCGTATAATAGTTGTTAATCCACTTGCTGAACATTCTTCTTTCCGGCTTTTTCTTCTTTTCCATTTGAATATTTCAGAATCATTCCATTTATAGAAACTACATATTTCAGGTATGAAGATGAAAGTTCCAACATACAATAAAGTAAGCATATAAAGCTTTCAATTGTCCACCTGAGATCATGTTTGAACTCTGAAGTTTGTTCAATCTGCGTGCAGTCTGCATATAATGGGAGGGGAGACAGAGCAGATCCTGAAACATGGCCAGAGGTTGAAGGGCCACTAACGGTGAGAAGTTCTTTATATGGTTCTTTGATGAGTTTTTGATCCCCAAACATATTGCTTCAGATGCCAATATCTTGTTCTTTTATTCAGTTAGATTCATTATGTATCATCTAGTTTATCTGATCCTTGTCTCTATACAGGCTATGACCATGTTAGCATAATTTGATATTTCTTTTTATCACCTCAATTTAATGCACACTAGTAAACCTATTTTTTGGTCATTGAGTGAAGCACATCTTTTGTGCTTCAATTGTGTTGACTTGTATTTATTTTGTTATTTCCTTTATTTACAGGATAAAGGCAATCTTTCTCTGTAACAATCAAAATGGTTGCCTTATACTATAAGTACTGTGGGGAAATCATTGTTTTCTGTTTCCTTGGATTATATTAATAAGCAGCTAAGTGTGAGATTCATTTCTAACTCATAACCAAATTAAAGGCTACATTGCCACTTATTATGAAAGCCATCCTCCCCAAATATAAATATACATGTGAGAGAAGACTGTTCTTTAGTTTCACTTTGCCGCTTAATCAACTAGAGTCTGACAGCAGGATTGCTTAGTTTTCCCCCTCCCATGCTACTTAATATCCTAGATTTACGTAATCATATCTTTTGAGCTAAGGCATCAGGATATATGGGGGTACCTATGGCCCTTTTGTCTCCGTATATCCATTTATACCTCAACTCGGCATTTTTCAGTACATGACTGACAAAGTAGACCGGGAGCTGACAGCCGTCCCTTTCAGCAAGGAGAACAGCGCTTAACGCATGATCAGAGACGGCCAGGTACATGTAGAGAACCTCTTTGGGCAAAGGGCTGACCAGCCTCGGCAAGGAATGCAAGTGAACTTTTAATTTCTGGAAGGCGGCCTCAGCATCCGGCCCCCATTCAAACCTTGCCTTTTTCTTAATTGCCTGGAAAAAGTATAGGCATTTGTCGCCTGATCGGCTTAGAAATCTTCCCAAGGCCGCCAGACAACCTGTTAACTTCTGAACCTCTCGGATGGTACGAGGCAACTGCATGTCAATGACCGCCTGCACCTTCTCAGGGTTCGCTTCTATTCCTCTCTGATTGATAAGGAATCCGAGAAATTTCCCAGACTCAACTCCAAATACACATTTCTTGGGATTGAGCATGACATGGTGCCGCCTGAGTGTGGCAAAAGTTTCTCGGAGGTCCGACAGATGATCTTTCTGAAGTTTAGTCTTGACAATCATATCATCAATATATGCCTCGACGTTTCTCCCAATCTGATCAAAGAACACAGTGTTTATCATTCGTTGGAAGGTAGCCGGGGCATTCTTAAGACCAAACGGCATGACCGTGTAACAGTATAACCCCTGATCAGTGACGAAGGCCGTCTTCTCCTGATCTTTCTTCCATAAGGGAATTTGATGGAAACCAGAATAGGCGTCCATGAAACTCATCAAGGCATGGCCGGCTGTTGAGTCGACCAGGTTATCAATTTTAGGCAGAGGGTAACTGTCTTTGGGGCACGCCTTGTTTAAGTCTGTGTAGTCTACACACATTCGCCAGGTGCCATTCGGCTTTTTAACAAGCACCACATTTGCAACCCAGTCTGGGAAGTAACATTGCCGAATGAACCCTGTATCAAGTAATTTTTTAACTTCAGCGGCTGCCGCCTGACTTCTTTCTTCGCCATGGTTCCGCTTCTTTTGCCGTACCGGCTTCTTTTTCGGATCCACGGCGAGTTTATGTACCGCCAGATCAGGCCTAATGCCTGGCATTTCATGGACTTCAAATGCAAAGATGTCCTTGTATTCTTTCAATAGGTTGTGAAAGTCGTCACCAAGGTTTCTCAGAGCAGTCGTCCCAACTTTGACTGTTCGGTCAGGACGTGAGTCGTCTAAGATCAGGTCCGCATGCTCACCAGCCGGCTGAGGGCGGAACTCATCCGGCCGCTCCTCTGCCAATGATTCCTATTTTCTTGCTTTTCTTGCGGACTCTGTCTGGGACGCCTTTCTCTTTTTGCCGCCTGCTTCTTGAACAGGCGCACTCTCCTTGACATTGTCAAGGTCTGTTTTTTCACCACTTGACCCAGTGGCCATAACAGTGGGCTTGACATCCGAGAGATAGCACTCTCGGGCCATCCTCTGATCTCCCCTTAGGGAGCCGACTGTTCCATTATCCCTCTCAAACTTGAGCAACATAAGAGACGGGATTATAACAGCCTTGGAATTATTCAGGGTTGGTCGACCCAGAATCATGTTGTAGGCCGAGAGTTCCTCTACTACTAGGAACCGGACTACCATGTGTCGTCCTTCCCCTTTTTCGCCCAGGCGAATGGGTAAATCTACTCGTCCCAGTGGGTGGACTCCTCCTCCTCCAAACCCTACTAAAGGGTGGGAGGCCGGATGTATGCAGTCAGTCTGATATTTCAGTTTCGACAGACATTTGCTGCTGATGAGATCTGAGGAGCTCCTGGTATCTATGAGGATTCGGCCAACTCTCTGGTTGGCCACTTTACATTCAATAACGAGAGGGTCGTCATGCGGCCCCCTTACCCCTCCTAGATCCTCTTCAGTGATGACAATCTCAGGAAATGTATATTTGGACGGCCGTTCTTGGTGAACGGAATTTACATCTAACCGCCTTATATTATCTTTGTTGCCCCTAATAGTGGGGCCGCCTCCTGAGAAGCCGCCTGCAATGGTGTAGACGACTGCATCATCTGTATCGGAGCTGTCGGCCTGTTGATTCTTTTTGGCCGACAGCTTTTTTGAGGAAGTGTTCCCCGTAGATTTCTTGACATAAGTGTCAAGATCACCTTGCTCAGCCAGGCGGTCTAGGTACCGCATGAGACTGATGCAGTCATTGGTGTGATGACCAACGTCATCATGATAAGCACAGATTTTATCTTGGTTCCGGTTGTTTGCAGAACCCTTCATGGGGACCGGCTTCTCAATTGAGATCCGTCCCTTGATTTCTTTTAGGATAAACTGGTTATCCTTGTTAAACGCATACTTTGGGGAGTATGGTTTGAATTCTTTTTTCTTTTTCTGGGCCGGCTGTTTAGAGGAATCAGCCGCCCAGACCTCTTTTCTTTTCTCATCTTTGTTTGACGACTGTTTCTGTCGTCCTTCTCTTTTGTCGAACCTTTTCCCGTCCGACTATTTTATTGTACAAAGATCAGTCGCCTGTATATAGGCTTCTGCTTCAATCAAGGCCTCTTGAAGAGTCGCCACCCTTTTTCGAACCAAATCAAATTTGAAGGTAGACCCGTCTTTGAGACCTCTAAAAAAGTCGGTATAAGCTACCTCATCCGGTAACCCTTGAATCTGTATTCTCATCAGGTTAAACCGCCTGATGTAAGAACGAAGCCCCTCCTTCTCGCCCTGCTGAATTGTTCCCAAATCAAGGGTCGTTTTCTTCGCAGGGATGTTCATGGCGAAGTTGGAGGCAAATAAGTAAGCAAGCGTCCTGAAGCTATTAACACAACCAGTCGGCAGGTTGCCGAACCATCGCTGTGCGATTCCTTTGAGAGTCGCTGGGAAACACTTGCACCAGGTGGGATCATCCAACCCTTGAAGGTACATCAGGTTGGTGAATGCCATCAGATGGTCTTCTGGGTTAGTAGTGCCGTCATAGGCGCCTACTAGTACATTTTTCACTTTGGCCGGCTGAGCGGCTTCAGTAATTTCCTTGGAGAAGGCCGACGGCTGTTCACCAAGTCTAAGCAACCGTAGCTGCCAGTCCATAGGTTGGACGTTTTTTGCTGTAGGTCCACCAAATGGAGGTGGCTGCATAAAATACTGTTGTTGCGGCACAAATGGTAAGTTTGGTACCGCCTGGGCACTATGAAAGCCGGACTGACGGGAGGTGCCGCCTGACTGACTCTCATGGTACGACTGAGTATGCCTCATCGAGGCATTTCGCAAACTGTCTTGAAAGTTTGAAGTAGAGGCCGACTCTGACAATCGGTCACTCTTCTTCTGCTCTAGCAGTAGCCGAGCATCTGTGAATGTTTGCTTCGACCCGTCCGCCTGAATATGACGAACCGGTTTTCTATTTCCTGTAGGATAACGGAATTTTGTGAAATCAAGGGCAGGTGGCTCCCGCTTCCTAGATTTAGGATGAGGAGTCGCCTCTCGCCCTTGAACTGGCTTCCTCTTCAGTGAAGTGGAGGGTTTCTTGGCCGACTGCTCCTTGACTGAAGCAGGCGGCTTCTTGTTGATCAACTCTTGAATCTCTCCCTTGAAGTCCCTCATGAAGGTCATGAGTTCGTTCTTTGTGATGGGAGCAGACCCATCAGTCGGCTGTTGCCGAACAGGCGGTGCGCCTGCTGGCTCGCTTCCTGTTTGAAGATGCTCCCGTTCCCTCCTTTCGGTATGACGGGTACGTCGGGCCCTTAGGGTCCCGTCTGAAGCTGTATGAGTTTCAACTTCAAATTCACTTTCGGTGTCATGGTCCGACTGGATTTGAGGGTCGTCTAGGGGACGCCTCTCTTCAGGAGTCGGTACAGACTTGGATGCCATCTCTGAAGTACTCTCCCCACAGACGGCGCCAAATGTTTCGGGGTTTTCTGATGTCCTGCGGGAGAGTTACAATTCCGAGACTGGAACCGGACGCCTGTACCTGCAAAATAACGGAGACTCCTGTGAGCTCCGCCTCCAACGGCCAAGTTAGTACCTGATTAAGGAGTAATTAATGCGGAAATTAAAGTAATAAGGTCTCTCTAGGTGAGAGTGTTTAATGTAGGTAATCTGCTTTGTTAGCGAGATCAGCCGGTTATTAGTGTGTTCCGTAATGTTTTCGCGTGTTGTTTCCGTAATCCCCCTTAATGAGGATTAAGGGAGGTATTTATAACCTTGGGAAACGTGCCCATCCTAGGTTTAGGTAAACCTAGGGCTGATTGGGCTTCCCTCGGAAGTTGGGCCTGGGTGGCCGGGTTCTCCATTAGGCATGGAGTATGCCACATGTCGTGACATAACAGGTCCAAGGTGGACGAATAAGCGCGTGCCACGTGGCAAGTCCTGACAGTTCCAATTAGGAGACACTTGGCAGGACCTGATTGGTCCACTTGGCGCATTCCGATTGGTGGGAGCAAAATCCCCTAATCAAAGCCCATCCGGCATATACAACTGGATGGATAAAAAAAGACCTTCTCGGACGCCCGGATGTTCATCCAGGAGAAGAGAAGTCAAAGTCAACAAATGTCCGCGTCGGCTTCAAAGTCGACCTACCCAGACAGTTTTCAAAATGCTTCAATAAGGCATTCGGAAACAAACAAAGAGAGTCAGTCGCGCGGCCTGTCCGAATGTTCTGGCCCTAAAATTATCCAGCCGGTACAATAAGGGTCACCGTACATGCCGTATGGATCTCCAAATATGCAGCCGGCTCTCTTTAGGGGCCATGTGGCACAGCCGGTCTAGCCTATGGACTGGCAGCTCCGGCTGCTTAACCTTGGAGAACAGCCAACGGCTTTCTTTAGGGAAATAACCGAGGCGGCATAGCCGGCCAAGGTTAAAAACATGTTGGTCGGTACATATGATGGTACCACCAACCCAAAAGACCACCTAATGGCGTACACCAATCTCATGTACCTATAGGGATTGGATGACGCCGCTTGGTGTCGGTGTTTCCCGACTACGTTGAAGGGAATAGCCCAACAATGGTTTGGCAACCTGCAAGCCGGGT